CTCCTGTAACAGCATTTCCTCATAACGTACGCAAACAGATGGATCGTGCAAACGATGATGAGCTAACCAAGGAGACGATTTTTGACGATGACCGATCAGTCGAATCGTGAAGCGCATCAGAACTAGTGCATGATCCGACTCAACACAGGTAGTCTAATAGGATGTGATTTTGCAATGACAGTACCTTACAGCTATATGGTTCATTTGAGTGAAATTGCCGACTGAACTTGAAAACCATGTTGCCGTCCGACGACAGGTGTGTCCTAAGTTGGTGCTAGATAAGAACAGCCGGTGATCTGCGAAGAACCAAAGCAGTCGATCATCGTTGTCTGTTCGCTGGGCGGGGAGACCGAATCACTCCCTGGACAGGCTTCCGATGAGCTCGGTTTTTTAACATGCGCGTTGAAATCAGCGGCAAGCAGCGCTACAGCTCAATCGGATGAGCTCCAAGAGTTTGTCGTGAAATTCGTCCTTTTGTGAACTGGGACTGCAGTTGGTCGGAGTAAATGCGAAAATGACGAACGAACAATTTTTGGTGTTGCTTTCCTTCCGAATACTATCCTGTAGCCTCATTGCGCACAAACGACTATTGAAGGCTATCCAACCTATCAGTGAGGCTTCATCTTTGTCGTTTAGTACGATTCCTACACCACGCTGACCCAGTTAGCGGACTTCATCGTCTCCCGATGCATGAAAGAAATACTTCGAGGACAGACGCGGCGCACTCAGATGGCTTATAATACTGTTGTGAGTAACTACTCGCACATGTGAGTAGCTCGCAAAAAGATGCGATTAGCGGTTTCTGTCAGCAGTCAAAAATGAAAAAGACCTTTCGGAGCGAATTGCTGTTGTTCAGTATGGTAAATTCAAAAACGCGCACCTAATTGTGGACCGTTCCATTAACTATACAGTTTACGTGTGGGAATTCTGAAGACTCGTTCCAAATGAGATATTTTGTTGTATGAATGCCAATTTACGGATACCCTGACTGTTATTCAGCATAAATGATTATCCTCGACCAGGTACCACCTTGTGGAATTGTAACAATACTTGTATCCTGAATTCGTGTCTCCGATAGGCAACAGAAATCAAATTATAGACTTCATTGTGCGCGCAAGATACGAACCACCGGCAGCAGAGTCATCACGTTGAAGGCCCCCGGATTGAGAGTTTGACGGCGCTTCAGAATATGCAATCAATTTCGGGGTAAAATACTTGGTACTATTTGGCGAGTGGTAAACAAGTTGCCTGATGGGATGTTGTGTCGAAGGAAGGGGCAAAAAACTAGGGTTGCGTATGGAAGACAAAGAATTAAACAAAGATGTTGACGTCTGGGCAGTAGTCCCCTTATTACTACCTATCCCATTCGATGCAATGGGTAGCGCGGTCCTGACTAACCTGCACGACCACCGACGCAGGATGGAATTATTGTGTTTGTGTATTTACTGGAACTTTGTGGGCGATTATTGCTAGTGTTCAACCTCTAAGAAGAACGATTAGGGTTTTCAAACAAAGCCTTTGGTTCTGAGAGGAACCCAACCACAAAGTCGCGAGTAAGGCTGAGTGGAAGCCCATTTACTTGAATCAATTACTCCCTAAGCACTTTTAGCGACTGCGATGCCTATTCGAGCCGAACCCTCAACTTGGAGGACCAGGAGACGAATTTGTCTGACCGTCCAGGCATGATTAGATCTTCGGCTTGACAAAAGCTATCATGTGTAGCTCGTTGGGTCAGAGAGGTTCACAAGCCACGTCAATGTGCAGTCCAATCGTGATGGACAGTACTCCTAACACGTTTCGATTTGTCCGTGAATCCGCGATACAGTATTTGGAGATTTACCCAGGAAAACTCTGATGAGTGACTGGCTTTAGTTTAGAGTAATGTAACAGGCCACGAATCACCTCCACGTCGACGGGACATCCAAAATTCTAGACGTCGTACCTTAAAAATAATAGAACGGATAATGTCAGAAACACGATACGTAACTGCGCATTGGAGAACTTACACCATTGTGTTGTATACAGCATACATTTGGAAGCAATCAATACAAACTGATCCGTTGCAGTTCATCGAACAACTTGCAAAATGCACTATGTACCAGTTACGTGATACGCGTAAAGACATGTCTAATCATACTCACACACACATCAGTACTTTTCTATATTTATAACTATCCGCACGTGTTGAATTGAGTACACCTATCATTTGTTCACCACATACAGAAGCGTGTAAGAGTAGACACGATGCACAAGGCGTGGAGCAATCATAACCTGACGAACCAATTAGAAGAAAAGGTGTAAATTCGAATCCGGACTTATCCAAACTTTTACCCAAAAATGTGCGAGTAAACGTAGACACACAGGTGCGTTTGTATATTGTTGTTTTTCAACCATTCCAACAACCTAAGAAGAAGCGGTAGAAAGAAAGAAGTATAACACACAAGAAAGAGATGTGACGCGAACAGAACGATGTAGCGCTGAAATAAAATCCGATACGGAGCAGTGAGAACACGCATACTTACATACATACATGCATACGAACGGACGGACGTATCTACTACGTACGCACGTAATGGCATGCAAATAGGTGTGCGAGCACAAGAACGGCCGAGGACTCGCTAGCTGGAACGATAAGCGACGAGATCGAAAGTTAAGGGTGAAGGGACAGAGATGGAGCCACACTGGATGCAAGGCCTTGGTGGTAAGATGATCGAACACCAAACACAATCAATTCGAGGATGTTTTTGTGAGTGCTGGGGGGGGGCAGAGAATGAATAGTTGAGGGTGGGATGTGAAGACAGTGTATGATCTCCAGTTAAGGCATATGGAAAATATAGTCCTTTACTGTCAACCACGTCCATCCGTGCGCAAAAGAAATATAGAAAACTGAGAGTGCGAGACGGGGAGAAGCACGAATGCCGGAAAGATAGCTTTTTATTATGATAAAATGAATCAGAAAAAAGCAAAATTAATTGTGTACACACATACAGGCTGGGACAGACAAACAGCCGAAGACGCTCGTGGGGACATTTGGAGAAAAAAATGAAACCAAAAGGAAGCAGGCACCATTTGACGTATTCATTCACACAGTATAGAGAGTATAGGCGGGAGTTCCAAAGTGCACGATAGAAGAGGACGAAATACAGTCTCCGCGAATTGTGTACGTACAAGTTGGGTAATGGAATACAATGGGATCTGGTTTGGCGAATGTTATGGATGATGACACGGCAGGCAAAAGGATGTTGAAAAGACGAACCGGGACGAATCGTGTTGGACGCCACGAGCTAAAGACTTCCGTGTGGTCGTGTATGCATTTGAATAGATCCTCTTACACATCCAAACGTGCAAGCACAGGTATTATATCGCGGCGACAGTCAGTAGGTACTCATCAATATAATGAGGTGCAAAAGTGCACAATCAACGAGAATTGCGCAAAACAGCAGGAAACACTGACTGACAGAGTGCATGCAGGTAGCACGGTTGTGTATTGAACGGGATTGCGATTGAGATGGGAGGGAAACGAACAAAAGAAGTCGGTTTTACATCACATCACATAACCCGAATCATGAGCATACGCCCAGTTGGGGGAGTAAAAATTTATCGTTTGGGGCAAGCGCGGGCATACGCAAACTTGTACACGAGTAGGCATAAATGTTCCACGAGTCCTGGATCAGAAGTGTGACCGCATTAGACGAGAGAAGGAGAAGCGATGTACCAGAAGCAGGTATGACGAGAAACAAACCTTCCCGACAGATTGTGGGCGCGTAGAAAGCTGAATTCATTAGATATCCACGAAGACACACAGTAACCTTGTGTGTGTGCGCGCGATTAGACCTTGGTACTCATGCTCAAAGGTACTTTTCGGGTTCAAGGTAGAGGTTGCGGTGGAGGGGATAGAAACAGTACAATCGATGTGGACAAATTACAAAATCACACAGCGCTTTCGTTGTTTCTTGTTAGTCACTGCCTTCGGTTTCTGAATATTGGATAGTTGAAACTGGCGGACCTCGCGAGCGGCTCTTTCGAACACCTGAAACGGCATGACAATCAACAGTGAGAAACCATCAGCGGACCAGAAAATAAAGCGGAATGTGTAATGGAACCTCATGAAGCAAGAACGGTTGAACCGGGCCTAGAAATGAATGAATGTAAAAGAGCAGGCTGGGGGTTTATTAAAACGATATCATTCAGGGTGAATTTGGTGTTGGAAAGACAAACAAGATGGACAACGAAACTGACCGGTAAACCGTTAGAGGAAGAAAACAGACAGTGCTAGAGAGGATAGGGTAGATCAAATGGATCTACCGTTACGTTTTATGGGGTAAAATAGCTTTTAGCGTTTTTTTAAAATTTAGCCGCATTGTTGTATTCTATAGCATCATTGCTACAGTCACTAATATTACCTTTGTTTCTGCACATCAACTGCTATGCGTTTCGTTGCTATAATGACATTGTGTGATTACGATGAAGACGGTCGCGGAATTTTATAATACCTTCACAAAAATCAGTAAAAATTTCTATGTATTCGAATTTGGAAAATCAGTGAGAAATAAATACAAATTGATCTACAGAAATTCACGTGGACNACGTGGACATCGGTTGGAATATACGATGATATGGACGACAATGGACATCGCGCCTAAAGTGAACCTATTAATTTTGCATGGGAACTGGTTGAAGGCTGTCCAGCGAAGCGCGAAATTGCATCGGGTCATGAGCTCTTTCGGGTTCGATCAAACAGTATTAAATTCAGGTTTTTCCTCAAGCATCTGTTGTGGTGCTACCTCAAAAATAGTTGAGTAGTGCTGCAGGAAAAACCGATGTTTGAATGTGGTTAATATCATCACATGACGAGATTGAAGTCCTCCACGATCAGCCACCTTCCCTTATTCCTAGTCCCGTTTGATCGAAGTCTTTTTCTTGAAAATTGACCGTACATTAAAAAGTAGATAAAAACGTCACTAATTCTGTTATGTGTGAATAACGGACTTAACGGAGAATTAGGCGGGAGGATACAGTTTGAAGAATGATGGATCAAAATTCATCAACCTAAAAATTGGATTGACGCGATCGGAATCCGTGACGCCTTCGTCCTCCAACAGTTCATTTGCTTGATCGACATTTTCAACAACCACGTATGTGTCATCAACATATCGTTGATGCAGGGACAAACTGCCAGTCAACCGTCGAAATTTGCGCCGAGTGACTAAATCACGTATTAAAGCGTCGAAACAGCACATTGCTGAAACACGCACATCTTGAAGGACATGAACAGCTGCCACAAGGACCTTGAGTTTACAATCGAGCACGGATCAGGAGACACTTTTCAATTCCTCGATGTACACCTAACGAGTAGAGAAGATGGTAAACTGAACCGCTCCGTGTTTCATAAACCAACATGGACCGGTCAGTATTTGAACTTCGAAAGTGTAATTGCGGTAGCAAGTACGTTGGACGAACTGAGAGAAGGCCGTCCGTAAGGATTTCCGAACACATCCCAAAGAATCTAGCGCTGAAAGGAAATAAAGTTTTTAAGAGCTCGATTGCTCGCCACATATTAGACTGCAACTTGTGTGTGGGGCCTAGCAAGTCCTTTAGGATCATAAGTAGACAACAACACCATCGTCTACTTCGGTTTGCTGAGGCCTCCGCCATTCGACGGCTTAAACCCAATTTGTGTAAACAATTAGACTTTGTGGCCAGTCTTGCCCTGCCTTGGTAGGACTGAACCCCGTCATGTGTTCACTCGCCGTGGTTGACTGTGTGACCTTTGCCCCTGTCCTGTGATTGGCCCAATTGATGTTTCATTTGTCCCATAACCTTTGTTGTTGTTTTGTAACCTTGATTGTCATTGTACGTATGCAGCTGATTGAGAGTACCCGAAATAACTGAATGCATGTTATCCTGCTGAAATGTGGTTCTTCCTCGCCGTGATGAAATTCCTTAAGGGAACTGGATGTATGCAAATTCCTGAAACTGCGCAAAGTTCAACGGTCACGAATCAGCGAATCAATCAACGAACTGTGGGCAAGTGCAGTTTGTTTTTCCCTTGTTTCTTGGTCACATCGGTTGTCCTAATTCGACCTCGCAATGGCTAACTCGAAAATAACGAGAGTATCATAGTGAACTGTGTAATACAGTACTTTCTGTTGTACTTCTGATCATGAGGTTCGGGACCTTGTTCGACCTTGTACAAACAATTTTTATTCTTTCCCTGATATCTTTCTTTTCTTTTTCATTTTACTTCCTTTTTTATTGAAGATACAATTTTCAGGAAGGGGGAAGCGGCCAATCAGAGGGCTGCCATACAACACACACAAATGGGGAAAGTCAGGCGGTGGTAGTGGGATTCGTCCTCCGGGGTGATAATTGGTGACGTCACCACTGTGGTGTAGAGTAAGGAGTTAACTCTTGCGATCTTACAAGTGCAATGTGAGTAGACAGAAGCTCCCCCCCCCCCCGAAGTTTAGTTGCGCAGTGTGACAGTAGCTCCATACGTTGGTGGTGATCAAGAGGTTTAAGCCTCTTTCATTGAAGTGCTTCAGAGATTCGAACCCTTCTATCACCATCTTTCACCCATCTTTGGTGGAACGCAGCTTCGTTGTCGCCCAGTTCAGTAACACGCCTATTCAAACGGAGCCTGATTATTCAGGATTAGGCTTGCTTCAATCAATAGCCATAAACAAAGAGTGACTCACAACACCACACCAACAACATATACTGCTTTGGTCGTGATTTTCCGATCGCAGTGCGTGTGACAGTGATTTTACAAGTCTTCATCGATCATTTTCATCCTGTTTTCCATCAAAATCTGAGTGACGAATAGGGGAAAGATGAACCTCACAAACAGGAATCTGTTGTTAGTTCGTGGTAACCGACATCTAGGGAGCGTTATTGAGCGGAACAAGTAAAACACGAAGACGAATCACCTAAGCTGCAGTAGCGCGAGTAGAATTCAGTTAATAAACCCTTTGACCTTGAATTGTTTTGGGAAGGTATTTTAGGTTATAGCTGCCTATCCGATCGGACAAGTGTTTTAAAAAACAGAGCGTGGTACCAAATGATTACAGAGTGGAAGCCAATGAACGGGTGCCGCTGTTTTCTATTCTGAGAATCTACAACCATCGGTTAATCTGATAATTAGGTCCCGAGCCAGAAAGCCCAACGCGACCCATGTGACGAAGTCAGCTGGCACTTTTTCCGACAGTTCCATGCCAGGTCTTTGCTCGACCACATTCGCGTTTCCTTCATCCACCGTCTAGCTCGATAAACATCGTGCGATGAGGAAGCCCTACTTAGCGTAACGTAAAATATGAGGCCACCGTCGTTATCTTAGGAGAATATAAGTAATTACTTCGTTTGTAACTGTGAGGAGCCAAAACTGGATCCAACTACGGCATTGTCTGTCTGGTTGTCTTGTCAGACTCAGTGTGCGCATGTGGGACATTTTTGGTATAATCAATCATCAACTCACCATGTCAACATTGTGTCGGGTTTTGGCTGAGGTTTCCATGAACGGGATTCCGTACTGACGGGCAAACTCCATACCGGCATCAATGTTATTCTTATTCCATGAGTCCTTTAAATCGCTTTTGTTCGCGACCAAAATCATGGGGACACGGTCGGTATTTTTGGCACGAAGCACTTGTTCTCTGTTCACGATAAAGGATGACAAGAACATTGTGTTTAACGGTAGAAAAATCAGATTGAACGGAAGTAGCCCCTTAATAAATTAGTGAACCAATAAAAACGGGGCTAGAAACTGCTGAGGTCCCGAGTAAGGAACATTGTGGAGTCAACGGTTTCTGGGATAACCCCAGATACAAAAAGATGCAAGTTGGACTAACACATTTATAGCAAATTTGAGGATAAAACGCATTCGAACACAGACAAAAATTTATTTCATTGGAATATATCCATGATATGACGCCGATCCCATGGAGTGTGTGAAGAAATCAACTAAGTTGGAATCTATTAGACGTGAAAGCTAGGAAATTCAAGGAGCAAGTTCGGAACGGGTTTCATCGGCAAATAATCAAACAAAATGCTAAGCGGTACACTACCTGACTAGCTTGGAGAGACCGCCGCTAAAGCAAGTGATCGGTGCCCAGTGAGACATTACGGTTTTATGTACCATCAAAAGTAACCCCACCTCACCCACCCCCCTCCCGGTGTTATTAGCCCGTTTTCAGATATTGTCTAATTCATGGATTTCCACTCTCGGTTTATTCGCTAGAGTTTTCCTTGTAGAATCCAATACGGATGGTCAACAAAAAGCCATTCGCTGACCATCAGTAGGATCACTGAGAATAACCTTTTCACGTCCTCGACTCGTTGACATTCCTCAAAATATAGGACGGCGTGCAGTATAGCAAATTCTAGCACGCAATCTAGAGACCTATATGTCAACTTAGCGACCAAAGTTAAAACAGCTTCAAACAATGACAGTTTAGGGAAACTGCATCACCTAAATCGGAAAATGTTTGTTTCAACATAATTTCCTAAACACAAACAGATGGAACCATGTTCAATGCTCATACTACAGAAATGTTCGATTCACCCCATGCGAGTTAGGACATAGAAACGACTCCGCCTGTCGTTTCACAAACAGAAGACAAGTCGCCAGACGAGAACTGACTAGGTAAGAGTCTGATGGATAGCGTTGGTAAGGTAGTAGTGCTATTCTCATGAGTCGCTTTCCTAATGAACTCCACCAGCGCATAAGATCAAATCAAATCAGATTTCGTCTTGTGAGAAACTGGATTGACCCAAACCCAACTGCTCTGCGAAAAAAATTAGAAAACAGGGGCAAAGTCCAACAGCTGATTCGTCAACTCCAAGCAAAAAACCGAAGCTCGAGTTAGAGCGAACCATGAAGACTGTTACACTTTCCACTCGATCAGCGGAATCC